GCCCGCATCCCTGCGGGTCTCCTCTGTGCGCTGGGGTGCAGCGGAGGGCGCGGGGCTGGGGTGATCGGGCCGAAGGGCTCCTCGTTCCTTCTCCTTGCCCGAGTCCCCTAGCGATCGCGGCACAGTGGGGCCGCGGCTGGCCTGGAGCCCACTGGTGACCTTCTGCAGAGCCCCTCTCCAGGGGTGACAGCTGGGTGTGACGGCGACCGCGTGCCGAGCGCTGGGGCCAGCAGAGCCCCCCACCCCCGTCTGATCCTCTGTTTACTAGACTTCCACGCTGAGGTCCACGCAAAGCCAAGACCCAGCCTGAACTGCGAGGCTTTGTGGGCGAGCGGCCTGCGTTGTCACGTGACCGTGGAACCCAGGGGAAGCCTTTTTCGATTTACCCACCAAATACTGAGCTGCTGTGTGCCAGGCACAGTGACGGGTTCTTAGGGTGCAGCTGTGAACCGTACACACCCCAGACGTCTGTGGGGCGCTGTCACTCCGCGGGGGAGACTGACAATAAACGTAGTGAGGAAATTGTGTAACTACGAGGGAGCAGTGAGTTCTGTGGAGGAAAGGAAGCGCTCACGCCGGTTAGGAGGGAAGAGGCCCGCTGGCGCGGGAGCCTGTTAAATAGGGTGGTTGCAGCTACCCCCGTGGGAAAGTCCAGGATGGACAAAGACCTGCAGACCGAGGCCCAGGGTGCCAGTGGGCACGGAGGGCGGCGCAGGGCATTCGGGGCAGAGGCGATCGACCAGAGCAGCGGCAAGGCCGCCAGAGTGATTGGAACGGAGCGAGCAAGGGGGGAAGGTACGGGTGGAAATCAGTGCTGAGGATCGGGCTTGCTGACTGCAGTTTGCTTCTTGCGGGACCCAGTGTGAGCACTTCGACCTGTTTGTTTTATCTTCCGGCTATAGTGGGGGTTGAACCTGGGATCTTCTCACTGAGCTGCATCCGGCTATACTGGGAGTTGAACCTGGGATCTTCTCACTGAGCTGCATCCCCAGGCCTGTTTTATTTTCTGAGGCAGGTTCTTGCCAAGTCGCACTTGCTGGGTGTGAACCTGCCGTCCTCCTGCCTGTGCGTCCCCGAGTGCGGGGGGACAGGCATGTCCCACCGTGCCCAGCTCTGTCTACATGGGCTTCAGTGGAGGCTGCACAGCTGCTAGGCTGTGAAGGGGCAGGGAAGGGTGGGAACCAGGTGATCTGTTAGTAGCAGATTTTCTCAACTTACATTTTAAAAATTTTAAAAATTTTTATTGGTCCATGTTTGCAGTAATAATTACATTCATTGTGTGAGCTAGGCCAGGTAGATAACACATCTTAATTCTTTTTACTTCTCCTTCCTCCACCCTCCATCTCTGTTCTTCTCATGTGCAAAAGGCCTATCTCCTTGTTTATGATCAACCTTAATTTGCTCTTTATGTTTTTTTCTTTATATTCTCATATAAGAGAAACTGTGTGTTATTTAAGCTTGTGTGTCTTGATTTATTTCACTTAAAATTATGGTCTCAAGGTGCATCCATTTTCCTACAAATGACTCGAACTTATCCTATATAACAGAGTAGTACTCCATTGTGTGTAAATAGCACATGTTTAATCCACTCATCTGTTGATGGACATACAGCCTGCTTCTACCTTTAGCTATTAGGAGTTGGTTGTGCTGCTGTAACATGAGTACACGAGTCACTGTAATATGGTGTCTTTAACTCTTTTCAGGAAGATACCTAACGGGAAATAGCTGGGCCAAATAAAACTTCAATTTTCATCTTTTGAGGAATCTCCATAGTGGTCATACTGGTTTATATTTCCACCAACAATGTAGAATGGTCCTTTTTTCCCACATCCTCACCAACATTTGTTATTATTTGATTTCTTGATGATGGCCTTTTTTTTTTGGAGTAAGATGGAAACTCAGTGTTATTTAATTTGCATTTCTGTAATGGCCAGAGATGTGAACATATTCCAGGTATTTATTGACTGTGTGTACTTTTGAGAAGTATCTGTTTGTGTTGCCTTTTTTTTTTTTGTGGTGGGGGGAGGTTGAGACAGGCTCTACCTATGTAGGCCAAACTGGCCTCAAACTCATTGGGATTTTCCTGCCTCAGCCTCCTGATTGCTGGGATTACAGGCATGTGCCACTACACCCAGTTATTTCTATTTTCTCACATCCTCTTCTATCTCCTTTTTTAGAGTACTGTGTTTTTCATTGTAGAGGTTTTTAACTTCCTTGGTTAGGTTAATTCCTAGGTATTTAATTTTTGTTTATGCTATTGTGAATGGTATTATTTTCCTAATTTCTTTCTTATTGAGTTCATTGTTGGTGTACAGGGACCTGTTGATTTTTGTGTTTTGTACTGTACTACACTGCTGAATTTGGTTATTCTAGGAGTCTTTTGGTGGAATTTTTTGAGTCTTCTGTGCAGAAGGTCATGTCACCTGCAAATGATAATTTGACTTCTTCCTTTCTTATACATATCCTTTCATTATTTTTTTTTCCTCTCTTGGCTGATTGCTCTGGCTAATCTTTCAAGTACTACATTGAACAGGAATGGTGATAGTGGGCATATCCTTGTCTTGTTCCTGATTTTATTTTTATTTATTTATTTGTTTTTTTGAGACAGGGTTTCACTGTGTAGTTCAGCTGGCCTTGAAGTATGTAGCCCAGGCTGACCTTGGAGGATGATGATCTTCCTTCCTCAGCCTCCCAACTTTGAAATTACAGGTGTGTGCTACCACACGTGGGCCTATTCCCAACTTAGAGGGAAAGTTTTTAGCTTTTTCCAATTTAATATGATGTTGATAGTAGCTTCGTTACAAATGGCTTTTATTGTGTTGAAATAAGGTCCTCTATACCTATTTTCTTCAGGGTTTTTATCATGAATGGATATTAGATTTTGCTAAATGTTTTTTCTGTGTCTGTTGAGATGACTGTGTGGTTTTTGTCCTTTTTTCTGTTTGTGTGGTATGTTTGTTGATTTGCATGTGTTGAACCACCCTTGGGACAAAGATTATGTGGCTGACGTATGACCTTCTTGATGATTTGTTGCATTCTGTTTGCCGGTATCTTATTGAGGGCTTTTGCATCTATGCTCATTGAAGAGGTTGGCCTGTAGTTTTTTACCGGGTCCTTTCCTGGTTTTGAAATCTGGGCCATACTAACTTCCAGGAGTGATTCTAGCAGTACACCTGCCCTTTCAGCTCCCTTAAAGACTCTGAGGAGTACTGATGTTAGATCTTCCCTGAAGTTCTTGTAGAATTCAGTGGCTTTTCCTAGTACTTAGGTTTTTTATTAGTACTTCAATTTCATTGCCTGTTATTCATTATTCCGGTTCAGTTTTGGTAATCTGCATGTATTCAGGAATTTATCCATGTCGTTCATATTCTTCAGTTACCAAAGTACAGGTTTTCAAAGTAGTTACTATCTTCTAGATTTCTGAGGTGTCCATTGTCATTTCACCCTTTTCATTTGTAATTGCATTACATGACTTGGGGTTTTTTTATTTTCTTTTTTGGTGGTGTTTTGTTTTGTTTTGTTTGAGACAGGGTCTCACTGTGTAGTTCAGGCTAGCTTTGAACTCACTGTGTAGCCCAGGCTGGCCTGGAACTCATGGAAATCCTGCCTCAGTCTCCCAAGGGCTAGGAATACAGATGTAGATAAAAGACCCACACCAGGGTCTTTTTATTGTCTTTCCTTTTTTTTTTTGGTCTATATTTTATTTATTATTTCAAAGAACCAGCTCTTTGACTCATTGTTTCGTTGTATTTGGTTTGTTTCAATTTCATTTTCTGCCCTGATCTTATAATTTCTAAAAAGATACCATTAAATGTCACCTGGGTGATTTTAACCCCCAGTGGTGAGAACCACTGGAGTGTGATAATCTAGGTGACACATGGTGGTGCCTCGGACAGGGTGGCAGCAGTGGAAGAAGTAGCACCAAATAGTTAGGTTCTGGATCTTTCGCTTTTGGGTGGGTGGGGACAGGGCCTTGAGGTTGCACATAACCCAGGCTGATCCTGAGTGCCTGGATTACACCTGTAATGCACACCTGACTCTGGATTTTGAATATGTCTTGAAGGTAGAGTCGGCCATGCTTTGCTGACAGGTGAGATCTATCTAAGAGAGAAGCTGTAGTTCAAGATCAGCTTGGCCTACGTAGGACATTCAAAGCTAGCCTGAACTGCATAGCAAGATCCTGTCTCCAAGAAAAAGAGAGAGAGACAGAGACCAAATGTGGTAGTAGATGGCTGTAACACCAGCACTCTGGGAGGCTGAGGCAGGAGGATTACAAGTTTGAGGCCAGCTTGGGCAATTTACTGAGATGCTATATCAAAGTAAAAAAGGGGTGGTGGGGAGAGTGGGAATGTAGCTCACTGCAAAGACCCTGGATTCAATCCCAAGGCTGGGGAAAAAGAGAGGGAGGACTCTGGGTTGTTTGGCTTGTGCAACTGAAAGATAAAGTTATTATCAAATGAGGTAGAAAAACTGAGGTCTGGGCAGGAGACAGAAATTTGAGAGCTCTCGAGCATCTCTGTCCTGGCCTGTCAGCCCGCCCCTGCTCCATAGTGACCCTGTGCTACCCAAAGGCAGTGACCAAAAATGCAGACATGTCAGAAGTGACCCAGGATTTGTGCAGGGCGCTACTCAGGCACTGGAGAAATATAACATAAAAAAGGACATGGGGGCCCACATCGAGGAGTTTGACAAGAAGTACAACCCCACTGGCCACTGCACCGTGACACATGAAACCCAACACTTCAGCTAGTTCTAGCTGGGCCAAGTGCCCGTTCTTCTGTTCAGATCCAGTTAAAAGCATGGATTGTGCCACAAACCCCGGCATCCATCCAAAACCAAGGGCTGCGGCCTAAATTCCCAACACAGACGCAAGTCCTCGGCCTGGCTAAGGAGCACCTCGCTCTCTGGACCTTTTCTGTGTTGGGTACAGGGTGTTCTCTGTACTCGTTTGTTGTGGTTATAAAACATTTAGCAAAACAGCTTACATTTGTGTTTATTTTCCATTCCATACTTCTGTGCCCCATGTGTTTTTTCCTCTTAATCCATTCCTTTAAAAAATAAATCTGTTGGCAATGTAAAAAAAACAAAGAAAATTGAGAGCTGTCAGCATATCCGTGATACTTGTAGCTGTGGGCGAGGATGGGGAGTGTGGACGCCACAGAAAGACATCCGCACAGCTGGAGATGAGGGCACCCGCCAGCAGGGTAGGACAGCCAAGGAGTCGGCTCTGGAAAGCTAAGTGAACAGAGTGTTGTGGCAGAGGGCGATCGATTGCATCAAGTGCTGCTTGGTGGGTCAAGAGCCATGGAGATGAGGAACTGAGTTAGCCACAGGAAGTCATCGGACACTCGAGCAGCAGGTGGGTGCAAGGTGGGCGTGAACCCGACTAGAGGCGAATCAGGAGAGCGGAGGAGGCATGGATGCTCTACAGCCTGCGGCTGAGGAGCTTTGCTGCAGAGGGTAGCAAGGGAGAAGCGCAGGCGTTGCAGGGAAAGGACAGTCCGGAGAGACTTGGCTTAGGAGGCATCAGATGCAGGGCACTTGAAGGGTTCGTCTAGGAGCAGCATCCACCTGAGACCTGGTGGTAAGTGGACGTATGAAATGTGATTGGAAAATATGGCGAATATTAATTTTTGTATAATTGAGGTAGGGAGAAGGATGTAAAAAGAATTAAAATGTGTTATGCAGATGTCCCAACTCCCCATGATTGATGAAACCTCTATGTACTACAAATGTACTAATAACATGTTTTCTAATTTAAAAAAAAAAATGTATTGCATGCTGGGCGTGGTGGCTCACACCTGCCGTCCCAACACTTGGGAGGCTGAGACAGGAGGATCACTATGAGTTTGAGGCCAGCCTGGGCTACATAGTTAGTTGAAGGCCAGCCTGAACTGTGAGACCCTGTCTGAAAAAAAAAAACAAACCAAAAACTTACTGCAGTAAAAGACGCATTGCCATTAACCCCACTACAAACCCCCCCCCCTCGTTTCAAATACGCCTGTCCCATTGCCCTTGTCACTCCTCACGCACTCCTGCAGCCTTCCCTGAGAGTCTTAGTTCCGCTGTCAAGGCTGCCTCAGTATCCTGAAGCGATTCAAAACATTTACTTTTCGTGATCATTCTGACTTTGGAGAAGAGCCGGAAGTCACAAGGGGGGTCTGAATAAGGTAGCTAAGGACACACCGCCATGTTTTTACAAGCCTGCCTTACTGTTGGGTGGTGCTTGGAATCAGTACTGACTGTATTTTTTATCACGTCCTATAAAGACACCAAAGAGCACTTCACAACTGTTTTTTGTTTTGTTTTGTTTTTTTTTGTCTTTTTTTGAGACAGGGTCTCAATATGCAGTTCAGGCTGGCCTTGAGCACACTTTGTGGCTCAGGCTGGTCTCCAACTCCCAACAATCCCCCTGCCTCAGCCTCCCGAGTGCTGGGATTACAGGCGTGCTTCTTGATCACCTGTTGTAGGAGGGGCTGGATGGCTATATACTCATGCAGCAGGTTAGGGCTTATGTTTCTTGTTCTGGAAAGTTGGAGATCATCGTGTCTAGTTTTATTGAAAAAAATACTGCACTCTTGTGAGTTGACAAACCTTTGAACATACTTTTATTTAGGTATAAGTTCTGAGGGGTAGCTTTATAGTAGATCTACTGTGATAGTAAAGACCTACTGCTATAAAAATTTTAGTGGTTGATGTTAGAATACTTAATAAAAATTTAATTTTAATAATATATTTGATTACTTAAAATTAGCATTCTGTGCACATTCCTACAGGTAGGGAAGAAAAAAAACCAGTAACGTGAAAATGCCATCTCCTTTTTCCCTCTCTTATTTGAATAGTTTGGATGTACTGCAATGGAATATTCCTCTATCGATGGACATTTACTTCCTTTTTAAATTTTTTAAATTTTTATTTGTACATTTTTGCAGTACATCATGATTGCACTCATTGTGGGAGGTTGGGTCACGCACATAACACATCTCACTTCCTTCCCCCCAGCTCTTTCCTCCACCGCCCCTTTTTTGCCAGCATCAAATTCATTTATTTATCTTGTAAGTCCTTACAAAGTTAATCATCATACACACAGATGAACAGCCAGGCTAATGGGCCAAAAACAGGACATTTGATTTCATGCCTTCAAAAAGCATCATACCTTGTAGCAGACGTTATGCTGGACGCTTTGGTTATACAGTCATGAACACAACAGGTTCTTACATAAAAGACATAAATGAAACAACAGGGCATGGGGCTGTTTCATAGTTTTCTCTGCAGTAAGGCTCACTGAACGTTCTTGAATATATCTTACTTACAATCTTACCACAGATTGCTCAAATCCCTTTCCCAGTTGAAACTTAGCATCTCATGTAAACCAGCCCTTCAGGTACTCCTACAGTATTTGAAGCTACATTTTTTTTCCAAAGCCAGGGCCTTCTGCATATTAGGCAAGTGCTCTACCACTGAGCTACACCTCCAATCTTACCATAATTTTTAAAATAAAAATGTAAGAAGCTGTGCACGGTGGCGCAGGCCTGTAATGCCAGCACTCAGGAGGGGTAGGCAGGAGGATCATGAATCCCAGGGCAGCCCAGAACACTCAGTGAGACCCTGTCTCGAAGGAAGTTTAGAAAGAAACTGCAAGCAGCCCTTCCTCCTGCGGTGGTCAGCCCCAAAACCGGTCTCCTCCCCAGCCAGCAGCCAGCCGCCCGGCCCTGGTCTCACGGGACCCGCCCCTCATCTTCCCAGTCTCTTCCCTCCGTCATCTGCCCCTGATCTGCCCGCTTCCCGCGCACAGCCCACGCGTGCAGATGAACAGAACTTGGTCATTTATCGCTTCATACTGGGGTGCTCGTCCTCGGCCTGAGCGCACCCCGCCAGCTCAAGGAGTGTCACCCTGAAGACTCCACCACAGCTGAAGAAGGGCTCTCTGGCACCTGCCCGTCTGAGCCTCCTGGTGTTGGTGAGGAAGGTCCGGGGCTCTCTGGAGACCCTTGGGCTGGTGGGTCACCTAGATCAGAGCAGCACATCAATGAGACCACCTCAGCACTGAGTGAGGCCCCCGAAGGAGCGGGTCCCCCTTCCCACCCTCTCTCTCTCACACCTCTGCGGTGTAGGCACACTGGGCGCTGCCTCCTAGTCTCCCGTGCCAGTTAGCCCACCAGACAAGCCATTGCTATGCTTTATAACTGACTCTTATTGACACGGATGATCAGAAGTGGTAACTGGCCCTTCACAGCCTGCAGGGATGAAGCGTAAAGTCCTCTATCACTTGGCATCAAAACCTCACAAAGCACTCTGATCTGCTGAAACATATGGCCCCCGGCTGGGCATGGTGGCACACACCTATAATTCCAGTATCCTGGGAGGCTGAGGCAGGAGGGTCACAAGTTTGGACCCTGCCTGGGGAACTTAGAGCCTGTCTTGAAATAAATTGGGGTGAGGGCTGAGGATGTAGCTCAGTGCAGACGCCCTAGGTTGAGTTCCCACTACCACAAAAGGAAGAAAGGAAAACGTGGCTTCCAGAACCAGACTCTCCAGATTCTCGCTGCCTTTTTTTTTGATTTTGGTGTTTTTGTGTGACAGGGCTCAACTCACTGTGCAGTCCAGGCTACCCTTGAACTCACTATGTAGCCCAGGCTGGCCTCAACCTCCCGTCGATCCTCCTGCCTCAGCCTCCTGAGTGCTGGGGTCACAGCCATGTGCCACCATGGCTAACCCTCTGGCTGCTGCTTATTTGCTGATGGCCCTGGCCCCGGCGCCTTCCTGTCCTCACTGCAGGGTGGAGTTAATCTCACACCTCCTGGGCAGCCTCTGTAGGAGGACAGGGCTGGTGGAGGTAAAGCATTTCCAGCGCACCCTGTCGGTGTGGCTGCGCCTCCCGCCCTCCCGAGGCCTGGCCCTTCCTCCGCTCTCCACTCATTAAACCTCAGCTCCTGCTGAAAGGGCTGCTGGTTTCCCAGCCACACGGTGCACATCAGAGGCCTGCTTTCTAGAGAGTGTGAGAGTGTCTCTTGTTTTCATCCTACCCAAAAAGGTAGCTCAAGTTCCAGGTCCGTTTTCCCTTAGAGGTTGCCCCTGCCTTCAAGTTGGGCTCCGTTCCTACCCACGCTGCCTGGCTGGGCACAAACGGGACTCGGTGCTCCTTGAGGTGATGCTGAGGATGAATGCTGGGGTGGGGCCGAAAGGAGGTTTCCTGGGGCGCCTGGGCATCATCTTGAAGTTCTCGTTCCCATCAGAGGTCCCCGCTGACGGAAGTGAAGGCAAACATAGCGCCGAAGACGCGCCTGATCAAGGCCCCCTCCAGACTTCCTCTCTCGGGAAGCAGGCTCAAGAGGGGGCCGGAGCAGATGGAGACCGCCTTGGAGCCTGCGAAGGTGAGTCGGGCGGGCACGGGGAGGGGGTGTGTGCGGAGCAGCTGTGAGAGGAGGGTGAGTGGACCCCGTCCCCATCTCTCCCCAGAAGCGGACTCGAGGCCTGGGCCCAGCACCCAAGATGGACACCTTGCGCCCAAGAGCACCAGCGCTCGGCACAGTATCACAGAGCCAAGGGCAGACTGCAGGTGGGCTCGGGAGACGGGAGGGGTGCGGGGCAGCGCCATGCTCGCCTGCTTGCTCTTTCAGCTGTAGTGTTTTTGAATAGGTAATAGTATCGCTCTTGGCTCAAAATCCCAAAGGTGCACAGAGCGTTACGTGGGGACGTTTCCTTCTTGTCCTTGTTCCCTAGCCACCTAGTTCCCCTTTCCAGAGGAAACTGAACAGTCTAGGGAGGTTCTTTTGGGCGAGGCTGGGGGGCAGATTCACTGTATAGCCCAGGCTGACCCTGAACTTGATCCTCCTGCCTCAGCCTCCCCAGTGCTAGGATTACAAGTGTGCACCCCCACATCCAGCTCGTCTAGGGAAACTGTATTCAGGCTAACATGGACGTCATCTCCGACTTTTCTCCTACAAATGATAGTGTCCTTTCACACACAGTCCTGCCTCCCTCCTCATTTTACTTACTGCTCTCTAACTTACTTCTCGGTCTGGTTGTAAGAGGGATGTCAGTGAGAGCTGGCCAGACTTAGGGGACAAAGGAAGTTACCTTTATTTCCAGTCCCTAGAAAAAGCACCTTGCTAGCTGGGCGTGGTGGTGCGTGCCGGTAATCTCAGCCCTCTTGCAGGCTGAGGCGGGAAGATTGTGAGTTCAAGGACAGCCTGGACTACGTAGTAAGACACTGTCTCCAAAAAAACATAAAGAAAAAAGCCAAAACAAAAAACTCCTCCTGCTCCTGGCTCAGCCAGGCTGTGCCACCTAGGGGTTACTTTTCTACCGCCCCTCTCCCCATCTCTGCAGCTCAAAGATTTCCCAGGAAGACAGGACCGTGCCCCCCAGCCACAGGTAACAGCGGCTGCTGAGGAGGCTTCCGGGCTGTGTGGAGGGAGAAGGTGGCGGGGGAGGGACGCTGGTTCTGTCGTCTTATGTCAGCTCAATCCCTCAGCACTGAAGAATCAGAGGCCAGTGCCCACCGTTCCTGCCCAGAAGCCTGCCGGTAGGTGGCAGACATGACTGCTGGGTGACCGCAGGGGTGGGGAAGAGTCAGGGGTGAGTGCCCAGGAAAGCTGCCTGTCTCTTGGCCTTCGGGAGGGGAAGGCGGTGCATGCAGCGTGCGGCATGGAGCAGGGCTGGAAAGCGAGGGCTGCAGACCTTGTTCGTCTCTGTGCCCGTCAGCATCCACGGCTCCTCCTGTGGTGGCAGCCAAGAAACCCAGCAAACGTCCCGGCTGGGACTTAAAGGGTCAGTTGTGTGACCTCAACGCAGAGCTGAAACGCTGCCGAGAGAAGGTGCAAACGCTGGGCCAGGAGAACCAGCAGCTGCGGGACCAGCTCCGAGAGTCCCAGCAGCAGGCCAGTGCCCTGGGGGTGGAGCGCCACAGCCTGGAGGGGGAGTTGGCCCGGGTTCAGGCCCAGGCGGAGCAGGACCAGCAGGAGCTGGGGAGTCTGAGGGCCCGAGTCCTGCAGCTGGAAGAACAGCTGGGCACGCAGGAGGTCTTGGTGCACGTGCTCCAGAAGGAACAGCTGGAGCTGCAGGAGGAGCGGAAGACACTGACCTCCCGACTGGAACAGCAGGAGGTGAGGCGCCGGCCTCCCTTTCCTAGCAGAGCACCTGCCCCCTGCTGCTGGGTTCCCCTCACGCTTCTTGGGTTCAAAGCCCCAGAGTGCTGGTCTCCAGCAGGAGCCTCTGTCCTCCCTCCAGCCCCTCCCCAAGCCACTCCTGGCCCTGGCTCACTTTCTGCCTCCTTCCTGTGCCTCCTCTGTGCTCCTGCTGTCTCCCCAGCCCGCCCTTCCCTCTCCCTCTAATTCCTCCGCGGCCAGCCCAGTCACAACCGCTGTGACACACTCCCCCAATGTCCACTGCACTCCTTGGAGGACTCCAGTGAGACTGAATGACATGCAGACTCTCAGAACTCAGCTTCCCTTCTGGCCCTTTGCATGTGTGCTCCCCCGTCCTGGAACCTTTCTGCAGCCCAGCCTTCCCTGCATGGGCCTCAGCCTAGACAGCATCTCCCTGCTGCCCCTCTTGATAAACCCATAGTCTTTCTAGCCTAGTATTGATTTTCTTTTTCCTTTTTCTTTCGCTTTTGCAGTACTGGGGCCCACACATGCTAATGAGCAGGTGCTCTACCACTAACCTACCTCCCTAGCTTTGCTCTGTTTTCGTATTGCTCTTTACCTGACTGTGAAGGCCTTGGGGCCGGGTCCCCCCGTTACTCATGCTTCGTCTTAGCGACATGGTTTGTTGATTGCGTCTCACTCTGTTCCACTCTGGGCAGAGGAGGCTGCAGGCATCAGAAGCAGCGTTGTCGAGCAGCCAGGCGGAGGTAGCATCTCTGCGCCAGGAGACTACAGCCCAGGCAGCCTTACTGACTGAGCGAGGAGACCGTCTCCATGGGCTAGAGATGGAGCGCCGGCGACTTCACAACCAGCTGCAGGAACTCAAGGGCAACATCCGGGTATTCTGCCGGGTCCGCCCCGTTCTTGCAGGAGAGCCCAACCCATCCCCTGGCTTCCTCTTGTTTCCCCCCGGGCCTGGAGGGCCCTCTGATGTCCCCACCCGCCTTAGCCTCTCCCGCTCTGATGATCGGCGTGGGACCCTGACTGGGGCTCCAGCCCCACCTAGCCGTCACGACTTCTCCTTTGACCGGGTGTTCCCACCGGAAAGTAGGCAGGAGGAAGTGTTTGAAGAGATCGCCATGCTTGTCCAGTCGGCTCTGGATGGGTACCCAGTATGCATCTTTGCCTATGGCCAGACAGGAAGTGGCAAGACCTTCACAATGGAGGGTGGGCCTGCGGGAGACCCCCAGTTGGAGGGGCTGATCCCTCGGGCCCTGCGGCATCTCTTCTCTGTGGCTGAGGAGATGAGTGGCCAAGGCTGGACTTACAGCTTTGTGGCAAGCTATGTAGAGATCTACAATGAGACTGTCCGTGACCTGCTAGCCACTGGGTCCCGGAAGGGCCAAGGAGGCGAGTGCGAGATCCGCCGGGCAGGACCAGGCAGCGAGGAGCTTACTGTCACCAATGCCCGCTACGTCCCTGTCTCCTGTGAGAGAGAGGTGTGGAACCGTGGTCCCTGGAACTGGACAGTGGGGGGACGTGGGCGGTGGATAGCTGGGGTGGGCGGAGAAAGGAGAGGACTGGAGGAGGGAGGGTGGGCCTGAGGACAGCCTGGCCACTGCATGCGGCCAGCGGCTGACGTACTTGCTGCCGCATGGGACCTTACGTGGGACTTGCTGTCTGCTCTTCCCCTCTCCAGGTGAGGGCCCTGCTTCAGCTGGCCCACCAGAACCGGGCCGTGGCCCGCACAGCCCAGAACGAGCGGTCGTCCCGCAGCCACAGCGTGTTCCAGCTGCAGATTTCAGGGGAGCACGCTGCCCGGGGCCTGCAGTGTGGGGCCCCTCTCAACCTCGTGGACCTGGCTGGGAGCGAGCGGCTCGACTCCAGCCTCACCCTGGGCCCCGGGGAGCGGGACCGCCTGCGGGAGACACAGGCCATCAACAGCAGCCTGTCCACCCTTGGGCTGGTCATCATGGCCCTGAGCAACAAGGTGGGAAGGGCGGGGAGGGAGGCTCTGGTGGGCTGTGCAGAGCCTTGGGCCACCCTCACAGTCTGCACCCCCAAACCCCCAGGAGCCCCACGTTCCTTACCGGAACAGCAAGCTCACCTACCTGCTGCAGAACTCTCTGGGTGGCAGCGCCAAGATGTGAGTGAGCGGAGCTGGGGGGGGGGGGACGGGCGGGAGCTGTGCAGGCGGCGCTTAGCTGAGCACGGACACGGTCTCTCCACAGGCTCATGTTCGTGAACATCTCCCCGCTTGAGGACAACGTCTCCGAGTCTCTCAACTCTCTGCGCTTTGCCTCCAAGGTGCGTCTGCCACCTAGCCGAGGCCCTGTGGAGCCTCCTGTGGTGACAGGCATCTGTGCCCCAGCAATTTCCTCCTCTCGGCCGGGGCACATTTCCCCAGAAAGGGTTTATACCTGCCAGGCACCTGGCACTACCCAGCTGGGTCCTTTGTGTGTGTGGTACTGGGCATGGACCCCAATTGTCACACTAAGCTACATCCCCCTGGCCCTTTTTTACCTTTGAGACAAGGTCTTGCTAAGTTGTGCGGGCTGGCTTCAGATTTACAGTCGTCTTGTCTCGGCCTCACCAACAGCTGGGATTACAGGCTTGTACCACCACAGTAAACCACCTGACTCCATGAATTACTGATTTTTGAATTAATGAAAAAACAGGTGGCTACATGGTCAGAATGATACATCACAAAACAAGCTAGATGGATGTGCTTATTCTCCTCCTGTGTACATATGTGGACATGTATTTCTGTACCTGTTTGTTGTGTTCAGTGAAACAGCCCCAAGAGCCGGGTATGGGGTTGCATGTCTGTAATCCCAGAGCTCTGGGAAGTTGAGGCAGGAGGATTGCAAATTCAGCGCCGCCGGGGCAACTTAGTGTCAAGTAAGACCTTTCTCAAAATAAAGTAAAGCATGACTGGGAATGTAGCTCAGGGCAAAGGCTCTGGGTTTGATCCCCAGTATCGGGAGTGGGGGACAGCCCAGGGCCGCACCCCATCAGCACTCCTGACCAGCACATTACTTTTAGGTTTGCCTGGGATTCTTAGGTACACACACCAAAGTCTATCCACCAGTTCCCCCTGCTGGACACTTGCGCTGTTTCCACCCTGTACTGTTAGAAACAAGGCCCCGGGACTAACCCCGTGCACTCACAGCATCTGTCTTTCCATGACGTCTCACTTCCTAGGCAGATGCTCTATGAAGTGAAAGCTAGAACAAAGGAGGTGCACAGGGCTGTCTGGAGCACCCCAGAGAGGGAGCTCAGGCTTCACATCCCCAAGGCTCAGCCTATGGCCTTGAATTCCCAAGGAGATTTAGCACTCCTTCCCCTGGGTTTAAGCAAGTCAGAAAGTTTCCTGACACCTGCCGCTGTACATGTGTGGGGGGCCCCTTGGTCTCCCCTTTCCTGAGGGTGGGACCATCCATGGATCTTGCCTCCAGATCCTGATCTGGTCTATCCCATCCCATGCTGCTGCTGCTGGGGGCGGCAGCTGCCTCAGCTTCCGTGCTGCCTCTGCTCAAACCCTCTGCTCAGGCTCACCCTGTGATCTGGAAAGCTCTATGAAATGGGCAGTGCCGGGGTGCTGGGCCCCCGACACTTCATTTATTTTTATTTTGGCCTTGGGGGTTGAAGCCAAGGCTTTGTGCACCCCACCACTGAGCCCAACTTCGTGTTAACGTTATGGCAACAGTGTGTATCATGCACTTCCTGCCCCCTAAATCCAGTTAAGTTTCACCCAGTTCTCTCAGGACCGTTTTACATTGTTCGTTCAAACCCGAACCCAAGATGTAAGCAAGGGCCACTTCATTTGGTTGGAGTATCTCAAGTTTATTTTAATTGACTGATTATAGACCCTCTCTACTTTTCAGTATTTGTTGAAGAAATAAGGTCATTTCTCCCATTGAGTATACCATAGTCTAGGTTTTCACTGGTCACGTCCTTCTGTCCCTCATACTTTTTGTTATCTCGTAGTTAGATTGAGGAGTTTGGTTAAAGTTTAAATTCTAGTTCAAATTTCTTGGCAAAAAAACTTAGTAGATGGTGTGGTACACTTCATATGATGTCTTTTTTTTCTTTTGGTACTGGGAATCGAACTCAGGACCTTGCAGTTGCATATCATGTCTCATCAGAAAGCACCTAATACCTAGTTGTGTACTTTTTTGGTGTGTGTTGAGACAGGGTCTTGCTGTGTATTCCAGGCTGCTCGTAACTCGCAACAGTCCTCCTTCCTCAGGGGTCACAGGCATGGGCCACTGCACCTGACTAGTTCTACTTCCTACTTTTTGTGTTTGATTTTGTTTTTTTTAAGACAGGGTCTCACAATACAGTTTCAGGCTGGCCTTGAACTCACAACCATCCTCCTGCCTCACCCTCCAAGTGCTGGGATTACAGGTTTGTGACACCACACCCAGCTCTGCTGCTAATGATATAAATAATGATCATCAGATTTGGGTGTTATCAACCTGATGATTCATTTAAAAAACTCAGCTGAGGGCTGGGAATATAGCTCAGTGGTACAAGTGCCTGCCTGGCAAAGCACAAGGTCCTGAGTTTGATTCCTGGTACCCACATACATACACACACAAATAAACAACTCAGTTGACTTCCACCTTGATTATAACAAGTGATAGTGATATCCAGATTTCTTTCTTTTTTTTTTTTTTTTTTTTTTTTTTTTTTTTTGTCTTTTTGAGACAGGGTCTTGCTATGCAGTTCAGGCTGGCCTTGAGCTCACTTTATAGTCTAGGCTGGCCTTGAACTTGCAACAATCCTCCTGCCTCAGCCTCCCGAGTGTGTGTGCCACCACGCCTGGCAGATCTATTTCATTTTAAAATGGTTATTTTTGGCTAGGCATGGTGGTGCACACCTGTAATCCCAGCACTTTGAAGGCTAAGGCAGGAGGACTGCCTGAGTCTGAGGCCAGTCTGGGCTACATAGTGAATTCAGGCCAGTCTGAACTTCACAGTGAGATCCTGTCTCAAAAGTTGTTTTCTAATTTTAGTTCTCCATTAGTAACGTTTTTCTGTCTGTGAAGTATGTGATAGCATTATGTCTTGAAAGTGTATATACCTAACCTAAAAATATTTTATTGCTAGAAAGTAAAAGTGATAAAAATGGCACCAACTGACTTGCTTGATGCAGAATTGCCACAAACCTTCAATTTGTAAAAAACAATAAAAAACCCAAATTCTCCATAAAGTGCAATAAGAGGAGGTATGCCCGTATTCGGTCACTCATATTCGGTACCCATAATAGAAAGATGCAGGATTCCTTATCAATTCTAGCACTGAGTTGTTATTGTAGCAACTGAAAAGACAACTATTGAATTTTAATGGGGGGGGATACCAGTTTCTCAGATGCATATATATTTCACGTATCAGTCTTTTACAGTCATTCTTCCTGATAATTAGATTGCTCTGTCTTTGGCCAGTGTGAGGGCTTTCGGCCTTTTAAGTTTCTGTTTGGTGGTGGGGATTAAACCCAGGGCTTTCCACATGCTAGGCCACATTCCCAGCTCTCCCTGTCTTTTTTTTTTTGGTGGGGGGGACATACTCAGAATTGAACAGGAGTTTCTAACTGAGCTACATCCTGACCCTTACAAAAATGGAAACAGCGCCTTGCTAAGTCAAGTCAGTAAGCTTCCCAGGCTGGGTTCCAACGTGTGATCTTCCTGCCTCAGCTTCCTGGACTGCTGGGGTGACAGCCATGCGCCATCGTGTTGGGGGTTCTTATGTCGGTTTCAGGTCCCTCTCACTCCTTGCCTCCTCCAGACTTGGACGGTCCATTTTCTGGTGAGCCCAGATTAGTGCACATTAGTGTGCACGTTAGTGCACGTTCGCACTCCGCTGTTCTGCGGGGCAGGACTTGGGGTCTCCCTCCAGGGAACTGCTGGAAACGGCAGGTCTGTTCTTCTCTATCTTCTGAGGGGCTTCCGTCCGAGCCGAACAACTAACCGCAGCGGGACCAGCCTGAACTTGGGAAAGCCGTTCTCACGGTTCCTCTGCAAACTGCTTCTAAAATCCTGTCTGATTTCTTGTCCCCAGGTGAACCAGTGTGTTATTGGTACTGCCCAGGCCAACAAGAAATGAAGATGGCACCAGAGCCCCTCTGTGTTTGTGTGTCTGGATTGGGAGGGGATGGATTTCTGCGGGATTGTTCGGTAAAGGGCACTATGTACTCGGTTTATCAAATAAAGAACACTGCTGGGCCTGGTGGCGCTCGTCTGTAATCCCAGCACTTGGGAGGCTGAGGCAGGAGGATCACTGTTTGAGGCCAGCCTGTATTACATAGTGAGCTTAAGACCAGCCTGGACTACGCAGTGAGACCCTGTCTCAAAAAAACAAAAATAGTGCCCCCGCCCCCGCTCAGGTTATTACTCTTTAAATAAAGGTTTTATTAGCAGTTGCCAGAGGATGGTATTTTTCACATCCGTAAGGACACAACTGTGGACGTGCCTTGTGCTGTGCATGTGCTCTGCAGGGTGAGGGTGAGGGCTTTGCTCCCGCTCTCACCTGGTCTGGACGCCCCCACATTCCCGGGCCCGGCCGCCACCCCGGCAGGTGCCCTTGCCCGCGCCGCCCGCGCCCTTCCCAGCCGTTCCATTCGAACCGCCGGGCCCTGCCCGCCTGCTGCTCATTGGCTGGCGCTCGCGCGTCACCGCCTCGGGTACTAACCCGCACGTCTTCGCACCGCCCTGGAGACGCGGGCGGGCGGGAAGAGCTCGGGAAGCAGCGCCCCTGCCCCAGCGCCAACCGCCGCGGCCGCCGCCCGGCAGAGGAGGGGCCCGGCATGCCCAGGTGC